GTTCCTGGTTGAGCAGGCTATTAATCGGATTAATAATATCAGCACTTTCAGCGGCCAGCAGTTGCCATTCCTGAAATATATCTTTGAGTGGTTTAATGATTTGAAATTATTAGTTATGAATGTGCTTACTGCATATACATTATATACAATATTTTCTGGACAACTTACAGGAGTAGCAGATACTGGTACAGACGCTTGAGTGCCCTCTAGCGGCTGTCAGTGTGAGAAAAACGAACATGTAAATTTTCAGTGGTACAGGAGTAGCAGATACTGGTACACAAGCCTAGAGTGCCCTCTAGCGGCTGTCAGTGTGAAAATAACAAACATATTTATATATTTTAAAATATAAGTCGCACCTGAGCATAAGTCACAAAGCAAGTATGACTTATAGTCCAGAAAATATGGTATACAAAATGACTCAAAACCACATAGTAAGAAATACAGCTCCCTAACGCCAAGTTAACTTAACTAATGAGTGAGTACTTTGTCACCTACTACAGTAAGACTCAGTGCAGCTCAGGAGCAGTGACCACTCTTAAATGCCTGGGTGAGGAAACACTTCACAATGCGCTGGGAAGTGCTTTTGATTATGCTTTTGTTTTTGCATGGGATGGATTGTATTTGAGTAGGGCTGTCAAAATGAATGCGCATTGATTGGTGAAATGAATCATTGTTTCATTAACTTTAAAGCAGAACTGAATATCCAATAGTTCTGTCCATGAACATCTCATCCACAACTAGCCTATGATTTTGTTTAGATAATCATTGACAGCCCTATATTTCAGTGGTTTTCTTGTTTTCTAGGTGTGCATGCGTGTGCATTTAATTTATATTATATTTCTATTTAACACGTTTAACATTTTTCCTGGCAAATTACTATTAAATTGGTTTGTTTTACAACTGTACAACAGTAATTTGTTATCCAGCTCACATTAGCGGAGACTGTGCTTTTTTTTGGTAATATAGAACCAATGCTGTGGTATAGAAATTAAAATGTTTTTGCAACCAGAGACTACAAAAAGTAGTTCTGTACCTTTAGTTCTGCTTAGAAGAATGCTATTACTTATAAAAGTTAGAATGACAAAAGTTAATAATAATCATTTTTAATTATGGGCACCTTTAAGGTGTCTTCAATTCAAAAAACAATAAAAAATAAAAAAATAAAATTTACATGACACTAGCAAGATTACCAAGAAAAAGCAAAACAAATAGGGAGATGACATCACACGCGTGGTCCTTATGATAAAAACGATCTAGTGATGGTGCTGATGATGACAATTGGGCAGAGCTTCAACGTTTTTGTTCTAAATATCACTGGTAATGAATGTGACAGGTGTGTGAATCGATTGCCATTTTTTTTTGCTGGTTAAACACAAGAACAATAATACAGTGGGGCTTCAAGATACCAGCTAGCCGAAAATGAGTTTTCCAAGTTACGAGTAAGCAACTTTGCAAGATTTTCTTCATGATACAAGGAAAAATCGAAAATCGTGTGCACAACCGAGCTCCATTTCTCCTTTTATCATTGGTGCTATCTGCTATACTATAAAGCCCATTTCGCAAGCTCAAACCATTAAATAATTGACAGAAAATTCCAATTCTTTGACCCCTTATTGGTCCCTCTGAACAAACTAACGAAAGAAATTCAATTCATTCTTTTCCATCATTTTCCATATATGAGTTTCAATTTGTATGATATTTGATACATTGGGTCACAATGCTCAAAGATTCTTTTTTCCTGAACAAACAAAAACATAATAAAACAAAACAAACAAACAAATCTAACAAATTTATAATTGCAAATATACAAAGTGCTACCATAACGCAGTAATGAGAAATCCACTAATGGAACTGGCTGGGTGGAAGTCTGGAAAACATATATATATATTTATGTTATATATTATATATTATGTATATATATATATATATATATATATATATACATATATATATATATATACAATATATATATTTATATATAGAAAAATGTATGTATTAATATATATGATGGAGCAATTTACATTTTTTTTACTCTAAATGTACCAAATTATGTAATTTAAAAATAATAGTAAAATCAAAAAAGTTATATATAATGCAAATACAATAAAATGACAATTGACTGATTTAGAGTAACATGACTTTATATACCTGCTGTATCAAATTTGATACGTCATTTTCAATACGGTTTTACTAACACATAGATAATGAAATTTGAAGTAATTTCACATTGCATCAACCCAGTACCTATTCCTATTGATGTCTCAGTAAAAAAAAAAAAGTGTTTTTCTCATCTTAACCTTTTCAAACTTGACAAAGACCTTTTTCAAAAAACACCTGTCCAAATCCTGAACCATGGCAATCTTGTAGTGTCACTGGAAGGCCCGCTAATGAGTGAACAACTATCCGCTGTTGAATTATCTGCGCACTGCATGTATCTGATTTTATACATCTGGTTTTATTAGGGGGGAAAAAAAACATCACATTGCTCATGTGGACGGCTGTAAAACTCATGTATCAAATATTATACGTTTGGCGTTATAGGCTTAAGGATGCTTTAAAATCCTTATTAAGAAAGGCTAATATGAATCCGACGTTGTGAATTAGCTTAGTTTCAATCACATCTTTGTTTTTGTTAGAGTGTGGATCTCGACCCCAATACAGTGCCCGTATTGTTGGAGGAAACATTTCCAAAGTGGGTCAGTTCCCATGGCAGGTCAGCCTTCACCACCGAAGTGAACACCTGTGTGGAGGTTCTATTATAACATCCCGCTGGATTGTCACTGCTGCACACTGTGTGTATGGGTGAGTGGAACCTAATTATCTTTATATCAGATGCTGAAGGACCCAGCACTAACATTCTACTATGAATAGCCAGAGGACATGGGAGTAATGGCATATTGCCACCTTTCACAGTGCGTCGTTTTTGTATTTGTAAAGGATTATCTATGGAAAAATAAGTTTTGTGTCATGTCTGTCAGCTTTGTCCTATAGAATCATTTGCTTGTTCTTAGCAAACCTTTGGGTCCTTTGGTGACCCGATGGCTGATAATATGCCTTTGTGTGTGTGTGCATTGTCAATCATAGATGATAGCTTGGCTACACTTCTGCCCTCTTCCACCACCTCAACTGGGTCAAGAGGGCATTTAGGACACAGCTGGCTTTCCGCATCAGTCTGTCCTTTCTCTTCCTGCCTGCTGTCAGGGTGTCAACAACAAAGCATACCTTAGCCATCTTTTACTCTAAATGGCTAATACAACCACCAAGTCTTAGAAGGTCTTAATAAGTGCCCCTTGCAGTCCAAATTACCTCAGCCTCCTCAGCAGGTAGAGTCTGCTTTAAGCCTTTCTGTAAAGAAAAGACACATAATCAGACCAGTCCGATCTGTGGTTCAGGTAAACGGCCAGTACTTAAGATGTCACCTTCTCAATGTCTATTCCCTGGATGTAGGGTGTTGTTTGCTACAGAAGTCCACCACCAGTTCTTTCGTTTTTCCTGCATTTGGGGGGTTTGAGGTGATTCTGTGGACACCTGTTCACAAAGTACTGTATCAGTCCTCTGTATTCTGTATCATCACCCTGCAACGATTGCAGTCATCAGAGAACTTCTGCAGGTGACAGGACCGGGAGTTGTCTGTGAAGTCTGCAGTATAGAGAGTGAAGAGGAATGGAGCCTGAATAGCCATATAAAAAAAAAAAAGTCGCCACCTGGATTTAACGAAGCAAATAGGTACGAGCCTCCTATTGGATAATTACTGCATGGGTGATTATCTTTCAGCTGGCAACAAGTTATTTAACCCCAACTGGTGCAATGAGTTGCTTCTCATTTCCTAAACAACCATATAGAAAGACACATCCCGTGGTCGTGATAAAGATGTTTGAGAAGGGTCAAAGCATTGGCATTCATCAAGCAGAGAAAATATCTAAGGAGATTGCAGAAACTACTAAAATTGGGTTAAGAACCGTCCAACGCATTATTATAAACTGGAAGGATAGTGGGGACCATCGTCTTCGAGGAAGAAATGTGTGGTGAGATCAAATCGAAGAAAAAAACAACAGTAGAACTCAGGGCTATGTTTAATAGTGAAAGTAAGAGCATTTCCACACGCACAATGCGAAGGGAACTCAAGGGATTGGGACTGAACAGCTGTGTAGCCTTAAGAAAACCACTAATCAGTGAGGCTAGGTCTGATGAGTCCAGATTTACCCTGTTGCAGAGTAATGGGCACATCAGGGTAAGAAGAGCAGCCAAATGAAGTGATGCACCAATCATGCCTAGTGCCTCCTGTACAAGCCTGTGGGGGCAGTGCTATGATCTGGGGTTGCTGCAGTTGGTCAGGTCTAGGTTCAGCAACAGTATGTGCTCAAAGAATGAGGTCAGCAGACTACCTGAATATACTGAATGACCAGGTTATTCAATCAATGGATTTTTTCTTCCCTGATGGCGCGGGCATATTCCAAGATGACAATGCCAGGATTTATCGGGCTCAAATTGTGTTAGAGTGGTTCAGGGAGCATGAGACATCATTTTCACACATGGATTGTGGCCACCACAGAGTCCAGACCTTAACCCCCCTGAGAATCTTTGGGATGTGCTGGAGAAGGCCTTGTGCAGTGGTCAGACTCTACCATCATCAATGCAAGATCAAGAAATTAATGCAACACTGGATGGAAATAAGTCTTGTGACATTGCAGAAGCTTATCAAAACAATGCCACAGTGAATGAATGCCGTAATCAAAGCTAAAGGCACTCCAAAAAAATATTAGAACGTATGACACTTTTTTTTTTGGTGGCGACTTTTTTTTTGGACAGGCAGTGTATATATATATGTGTGTGTGTGTGTGTGTGTGTGTGTGTGTGTGATATTGCAGTATTTATTGATTTTAAAAAAAGGCTGTTTACGCAATCAACCATGAAATATTAATCAAGAAACTGGAGCCAGCAGTTTGCGAAATGGGTGATTGTGTTTCGTCATGTTTTGGACATTGCTTGTGGTGTCCCACATGGGTCAGCATTGGACAAAAATATTTCATTTTGTAAATTAATGATATATGTCAAATTAGTAAGGTATTGCATTTTGTGTTGTTCGTTGACGACAAATAGTTTCTGTTCAGGGAACAAAAACTACAGGACGTACCTATACAAATAAACGAGCTCAAGACGTAATTTGACAGAAACAGGTTATCATTCAATCAGATTATTCAAAATGTACAAACCAAAGTAGCAAGAAGCACTGCAATAATTAACAAAGCAAACAAGCAAACAGAAATCAGAAATCACTCCACACACTATTCTGTTCTCTAGTTTCACGATACTTTTGTGCTGACATTTGGGGTAACAACTACAAAACTTCCCTACGGCCACTAACCATCATTTAAAAAAAGAGCAATACAGATCATGCGCAATGTTGGCTAGCAGGAACAAACAAATTCACTATTTCTTCAGTCCAAATTACTAAAATTTACTAAAAAAGTTTTTTTTAGTAAAAGCTAAAAATGATAAATTTCCAATAAGTATACAGAAATCATTCAGTATTCATGAGAATTACTAAAATTTACTAAAAAAGTTTTTTTTAGTAAAAGCTAAAAATGATAAATTTCCAATAAGTATACAGAAATCATTCAGTATTCATGAGGGGAGTTATAACTTAAAGGGGGAAAATTTACTTTACTTTAATTTGTACAACAAGGAAGAGTTTTTGTGTTCCAGTTAGCGGGGTGAGATTATGGAACAGCTTTACCATGACGCTGAACCACTGTCCAAACATGATACAGTTTACAAACCGGTACAAAGACACTATTTTTAAGAAGTACAGGGATGAGGGAGGTCTCTGTAATACGATATGTGGGTATGTATGTGTATGCATGTTGTAGGTATATATACACTGGAGCTTCAAAATACGCGTTTAGTCCATTCCGCAACAGCACTCGTATGTCCATCCTCTTGTGTCTTGATTGCATTTTCCCCATTAAAAGTAACTAAAAACAATATGCTATACCAGACATATACTCCTTATGAATTAAATTAAAATCCCCTCTTTATCTAAAAGTATAGATATAAACAAATATATTGATAATGTTCAAAACATTTTATATTATTGTTATAAAAATGGGTAAAATAACCCAGCGAGGGACAGTGTCGAGTGGAAAAATGGAGCTCGGTTGATCACTCGTAACCCGATGTTTCCTCCTATCACAAAGAAAATCTTGCAAAAGTTGCTTACTCGTAAATTGGAAAACTCGTATTTCGGGAAGCCCCACTGTATGTGTGTGAGCATTTAAACGGGTTTGCAAGGAAGCTTGTTATTGTAATTCATTAGTTAAGGAGAAATATGCATGTATATGTCCTATGTTTAAATGTTTTGTATTATATTCTTTCTATATATATATATTTTTGATTCTCTTTTATTCGAATAAAAACTTCAATCAATACCTCACTGATAACTGTCTCCTGTCTGTGCTGCTCTTTGCAGGTTTGCTGACCCTTCCATGTGGGTGGTGCATGTTGGATTGACAGATCAACCAGACAATGGAGCCCAGTCTCTGACTGTGGAGCGGATTGTATATCATGCTAACTACAGGCCAAAAAAGCTGGAATACGATATTGCACTGATGAAATTAACCCTGCCGCTAATTTTCAATGGTACTCTTTTCATCTTTTCATCTTTCCTAATAGCACTGCTGCAATTGACTAGATTGTAAGCTTCTCAGACAACTGCTTTGGGTCCTCAAGGCAAACTAAATATTGAGTTTTAGTCTCTCTTTTTTGTTATCTTTCATTTAGAATCATACACATCTTTGCACACATCATGTTTAGTGCTTGCTTAATTGTGACTTACCAGTGGGATATCCGTCTGTAGGGTTTGTCGAGCCCATCTGCTTGCCTAATTATGGTGAGAATTTTGAGGCCGGAACCTTGTGCTGGATCTCGGGGTGGGGAGCAACAGAGGCCGACGGTGAGTTTTGTACATAAAACACACACACACACACACACACAATATGCATACACGATATCCACCTTATTACTGAACCATTATATTTCCCATGATACAACTGAATCGCCGGACTAAGTGAACTTTTGGTGTTGTCGACATTGAACATGTAGACTAGGCTTGTGTCTGTGGCACAGATTAAGCAATATACAAACTTAGGAGTCTTTCAAATATGGCAAATAGTGGTTGGCTTTATTTTGCTTGGGAAGTAGCCCAACCTCAGAATGATGGTCAGTCAGGCAGATTGCGTCCCCCCGCCCCCCTTAAGATGTAAGTCAGGATGAGCAGCTATTGCCCGAGGCATCTGTGTCAGATTTCTCCCCACCACTTTCAACTTGTGTATTAATTTATAATTAATGGGAAAAAAAAGTTTGTGGCAGGTAGACTATAAACCTATCTACCTCTACCTGAAAATGCCCACTTTGTTTCGGGTTGTTCTCCTCTGTCCGATGACGGAAAGGTTGTTAGTCTGCACCAGCGTGTTCCGTCACAGTCTGACTGGAGCAGGACGAGAGGTGAGGCGTAAGGAAAATTTTCTCACGATAAAAGTCATGTTTTATGAGGCATGTACTGTAAAGTACATTTAAATGTATGCATTAAGGATTAATAATCAAGCATGTGGTTTCTCTGGTAATTGAACCCAGGAATCCCTGCACTCTGCTTCCAGGCAGGTCTGCTACCTCTACACTAGGGAACTATTGAAGTAGGCCCAACATACCAGGCTTTGCAGTACCTCTACACTAGAGAACTGTTGAAGTAGGCCCAACATACCAGGCTTTGTCTTCATGGTCTGGCTTAACAAAACCTTAAACCCCCAGTCAGAGTTAAACAGTTCCATGATGGTGTTTATCAACTGGCTTTGTCAAGTCCAGTTCTCAGATTTGTGCTCTGGTGCACATTTATATAATCAAAGGGGGCACTTGATATCAGATTATTGTACTTACAGCCAAAATGAGGAGCTTTCCCGTGCAACATATTTCAAAGTTTTGAGTAAGAGAAAAAGAAAAAGACCATGTAAATGCGTAATTTAACACTGATAAATATTTAATATTTAATTTGCCCGTAGCATTTTCATTTTTGAAAAATCAAACGGTGCACAACATTTACATATTAACCATTAACTAGAGCACCTGTCTTTTTTCATTTTCGAATGATGTCTATATTGGTTTTTGTTTTTTTTTTACATATTTTACTGATCTGAATTATAGATGGTGAGTGGGGTTTTTTTTTTGAAAGCAAGACATGTGTGCATATAAATGTTTGAAAAAAGAATATTTTTGTCTGGATGAACCATCTAATGTCTCTGTACAATGACACTAAAGACTTTTTTGATGGTAAAAAAAATAGCTGTAAGATCTGAGTTTGGGCCTACACTGCTCTTATAACATTGATCAGTTCCTTAGTTTATTCTTGGCCACATCTAAGTGAAATAATTAACTTCACTTATTATCTGTGACCAATAGGTACTAAATAGGCCTAATTAATAATTTATATTGATCATAGAGAAAGGTACTTAATTAATAATTTATATTGATCATAGAGAACTTCATTAGGAAATGCCAGCGGATCAGTGCAATCTCGAACAACCCACTCCCGTCTGAGTGCTGCCCACGTTATTGTTGCTCCTGTAATGTTCAATATACAGTTGAGTTTTATAAAGTAGTTTATAAACCTTAATGAAAGTTGACCCAGGCATACATCCAAAAATCATAGCTGCTTCAGTCCCACTGGGAATGCCTACGCACACTGTACTTCATTCTGTAATCACTAGGCAGCTTTAACTAGTCCCGGCAATTTAAGATGAAACTCTTATAACCTGTTGAGAACAAGTTATGAGCTCTAAGTTACCCTGGTGATGTAGATCAGAATAGGTTATTAAGAATTAGTTATCTTGTATGTCATTATTCTGCCCCACAGAGGATAACGGTATTGCTATTCATTAGTGTCTCGTCTGATGAGCCTACTACCTCGTCTTTTGAGTTTTCCTTTTTTTTAAATCTAGCAAAAGCCACTTCATGATGTTAGGTTCTGCTCATTTTACTAAAATCTTTTGATTTTTAGGCTTAATTCGTATTTATTACAGAATAAGCAAAACAGGCAGTTCCAGAACTCTGGGTCAGATCTAACAGCATAGGATGTCAGTTCACGAAGTCTGACCAACGAGTTGTGCATGCAAACGTTGTCCTCTTCTGATTGGATGTCCTTCTGATCTGTGTTTTGGGGATTTGGCTCCGCTGTTGCGGGCACCTCTGTCCTCAAACTTACTAATTACTGTGACCTTCGTCACTCACTCAGATGTACTCACTATCATGATTTATAAAGGATTGTTTGGTTCTCAACTGCCAGGTTGTTCTCGTCTGTCTCTTAACTACAGAAAGAATACTCATATCATGTCATGCTACAGTTGTCACACAATCGCTCAGTACATTTCCACTCTTTGTCACACAAATGCTCAGTAGCTTTCCATTCTTTTAAGTTTAACATTTATGATGTAATAATTTCACTATTAGTTAATCATGATATTATAATCATAATAATATTCATATCTTTACAATGATAACCAACAAACCACAGTCATTTCAACCAAACCTGCTAGCTCTACTAGTGCTATTTTCACACTCAACAGGGATGGACTCCCAAATTAGTTAATGCACAGTCGATCCCGTATTAGTTAACAAGCAGCAAATACACTTTGGTGTTGACAGAGACTTTAAATAAAGGATTTGCTGTGAACTCGATACCTTTTTTTTTTGTTCACGAAGGGTGGGGTTTGAGTGTGCATTCATTTGCACAATTCCTAAACTGACACATACATGTTATCATGTGATCAGCACTGAGAATTAACTGGATATCCAGCAATCACAGCATTTACAAACATTGTGTGCCAGGGTAATAGTGTTACCAACACCGAGCTGACAGACTCCCAAACTGTAACAAAAAGGCTGGCAATCCTCCCGGCATGAGTTAAGTTAATTTACTCTGCTCCGTTTGACAGCAGTTTTATTTTCAGTATTACAGGGGGAAATGCGCAGCCTCATCTCACACTTTTGTTTCTTGTACAAAAAGTACAAAAGTTGCGTCTGCTCCAACAACGGTGCCTCTTTCTTCTCTTTCTCCCGCACACTAACACACACACACAAACCACTAAGCTCAGCCTGCAGCAATAAAAATGATTTATGATGTATGTATGATATAAACTGTTCATTTCTATAGGACGGTTGAGTGAAGAGGCTTGATCAGAAAGAGAGAGAGAGAGAGAAGAGTAAAGTGTAGATAAATACATCCATCCATCCATTTTCATCCGCTTATCTGTTACCGGGTCGCGGGGGTAGCAGTTGCCACCCAAATCACACTGCACCGTACCCACCCCCCTGAACCTTCCTGCGGGTGTTGAGTCCACTGGAAGGTACCAACTGCCCTAACCGGGATTCAAACTTGCCCAGGAGGTGAACCCTGGGGTTTCACACCAACGACAGAGACATTGCCTCTGGGCCAAAGCGCCACAGTATAGATAAATGAATATAGTTAATAGAGAGTGGAAGGAGAGATCAGGCAAAGAGTTTCGTTTTAGTTGTGGCTGTAACAGCGGCTTGGTCAAATATTGTTTGTAATATAAGTTCTGAGGAGCACTGGGCCTGGTTCATTGCTGTTGGAGGGCCATTATAATTTGGTTGTTGTGCATGGCCCCCATCAATTTAGGCGGCACCATATAGCTGTCTGACTTAAGACTCATTTGGAAAGATAACAGTAGTTATTAGTAGGGAGATAAGCATCTGCAAGACTTCATAAAATCTGCGAAAATGGTGCACATTAAAGGTTTAGGCTTTTCTTAACAGACATGCAGGGAGTGAAATCCGCAGTAGTCTCAATGATTTTACACCTGAATAAGTTAATACTGTATCCAAACCCCAAGTGTTGCTGCACTGCAAATACCATATTAAGTGTCAGAGTGAAAACAGCAGAGTAGAGAAGAAACAACTTACGACACATTACAAACATGTAACATACTACATTTGTACTACCTAGCTAAACTTACTCTGTGGCTGAATATAGAACGCAAATCCAATTTAAAAAATCCATAAAAATACTATAATCTTGACTTTTTTACTCAACTATAAGACTTATCCTTATAACATAAAAACAACAGCTGGCAGTCACACTTTCAGAACGTGCCAAATTACCAGGACAAGTTGAAAATTAGTGATAGCTATAAAGACTTTATATAGCACATCAGTTTCAATCATATATTACAATCAGAGGTGTGGACTCGAGTCGCATGACTTGGACTCGAGTCAGACCCGAGTCATCAATTTGATGACTTTAGACTCCACTTGACAAAGTGTAAAGAGACTTGGAACTCGACTTGGACTTTAACATCAGTG